GATGTGATAATTGGATATCACTAATGATCATTATTGTCATTCATCGCAGGACACAGTGAGGCGATACATTCATAATTCTGCTTACGAAAAGACTCGTATAAAATGTCGGGAATCGAGGCATGCAACAGGTGTTTGTCTTAAAATTGAAGCATGTCATTTTAAAATTTATTAGGAATTTTAAAATTAAAATTCAACTCTAATTGCTTTATCAAAGTACTTTAAATCTGCAATGCCACTTCTAATCGGAATGGATCAATGCACGAAAAATTTGACTACATGTCATTCAGGCCACAAATGTCGGCCTGGCCTGGCCTGTAGGCCAGGCTGGCAGCTCTGATTTGAACTAAGATTTATTCTGTTTGTTCTTCATTGATCAAAATAAATTTTTGACACAAAGTTTAATTCGATTCCAAAGTTCAGTGATCATTTTAGTACTTAGCTTAACATAATTAGTTGAAAACAAAAAAAGAAATTTTTTACAAACTTCAGAATTATAATTAAATTATGTTTCTTTAAGTGCAATATCATTCATACACTTGTATGCATACAAACTGTCGAGTGTATAATATTTTAATATGAGTTTGACTCTTATATGTTGCTGTCTTTGTTGTAAGGACGCCGTCTTCGTATCAATCCTTTATCTCACATCAATCAGCATATTCTATTTCGTCCATTGTTATCTACTGATGAAAAAAACTTAACGACATTTCTCGAAAGTCTTAGTCAACGTACACGTCATTATTGTGTTTATCCAAGTTATGATAAAAAAACAGCAGAATTATTTTGTAATGAAGAAATAAATAGAAATAATGATAAGTTACGATTAATTGCTTTGATTAATCAAAGTACGATAGTAGCTTTATTTAATATAACATTATCTATTCGTAATGATGAATATGAACGTTTTCGTATAAATCATAAAATTGAATTGAATAATAATAATACGACACGATTAAGTCCATGTATCACTGATAATTTTCAAAACAAATATCTTGGTAGTTATTTAATGGAAAAAACAATAGATATTATACGACGAATGTGTAAACGTTATGTAATTCTATCTGGTGGTGTACTTGTAGAAAATACTCGAGCTATTCGTTTTTTTGAAAAAAATAAATTTAAATTATTTTCAACAATTTTTTTAAGTCATGATGGATATGAATGTAAGGATGGTCTTATTGAAATTGATTTATAAGAATAAAAATTCTTATTCTTTCTTTTTATTATTTTAAATAAAAAAAAAAACATTTCGTTTTTGTTTTTCTCGAAAAAAAAAACATGAATATTTGACTTGAATGTAGTAGGAATTCTCCATTGTTGAATTATAACTTTCTTACATATTTATTGTTTTAATTGAGTTTGTATCAATGCTTGTGATATAATGGAAATCAAAGAGATTAAATTGAATAACGTATATTTTATTACATACTGATAATTGATTAGTTTGAATAAAAAAAATTATAAACTATTTCTGTAGCACTTGTAGTATAAGTTGAATTAAGCAGTGATGCATAAGTACTATAAATAATATTGTAGTTAAATTTAAATAGTTGTTTAGCTACCAAATAAGGTACAAGAAGAACTTGATTTTTGGCTTAAGGATTTATTATTGGTGTATTAATTCAAATACAGATGTTAATGGATACAGAGAATTTGTTCTTTTATAAGATTTACAAAAAAAAAATAATGTAGTATTCATCAAAAATTAGATTTAGTGATTGATTCTGTCGAAACAGCTTTTTCTGTCTCAGTCATTATAGCTGAATAACAGTAATATTCATCATGTTTTTTAAAAATAATATATTCCAACTTCAAGGTTACTAATAATAGACAATCGTTTGATGAAATACTTATCATCTGATGTCATACACTTTCTGCTTCATTTCATCCTTGTAATATTTTTTTTAGACATCTAGCATGTTGATCTGGAATTGTTTATTAGCAACTCAAGTCATTCAGAGAAAGAATTCTTTGTTCGATTAATCTTCTATTCTCAATCTCAGTTCAATGACTAATAAGAAGATAAGTGAACATTTCTGAACTATTCAACTGTAAGAAAAATATGAGATTTTCGAAGCTATCTTTAGATGTATCCGTTACTGATATCAGTCATTGAATATATAAAGCTATCTCTTCTTTTCATACATCACTGTAACAATATGACTAGTTTTCTCATCAAGTTCATGGGATATCGAATTTAGAAAAACTTTATTTGTCTCTTCTAGTTTTAGACAAAAAATATTTGTTAAAGATAATAATTAAAAGAAAAATGGTATTAGTTATATAACGTGATTAAATAAAATGGGTGAGTGTGTGGATGTGGTTGAAAAGAAAATCAGCATCCACATCCTTTTCATTCGTTATATAGGTCGTATCTTCTGCAGTAGTTTTTATGTGCTTCATTGTGCTGCGCTTCCGTAACGACACATATTCGGAATTTATGATTGCAATCACAGTTTACATAATAATTAACATCTTCTTCAAAGGGTAAGAGTTCAGCTTGACAAAAAGGACAATTAACAGTATCTTCTAAATCGTCGATATCCATCCATGAGTCTTCCTTAATATTCAATTCATGAAAGTTTTTGTAAACTTGTAACCAATTACAATTTTTATCATGATTAAAGTAATTACCGAATTCTTTCTTTACAAACTTCTTCCATAAATATGGTTGTGATGCAGCTAAATTCCATAGCTTACTCACAAATAAACATTTTTCCAGATCGCTAACATCTTCTAGACAGGATAGAATTTTCACTATAACATCGAATGACAGTGTAAAATCTAAAGTATTTTGATCATGTGTTGTAGAAGAATTTTTTTTCAATTTTTTGCGTTGAGGTTGCTCCATTGACCTCAAATTTCGTGCTTATTTTTGCAAATGATCGTATGAAAAGGATCTTAGTACTTGTAGAACTTTGATGCAATCATTGGTAAATTCTTCTCTGATTTGCTTGAGTTCAGAACATTTTCAAAAGTTCTTTTACTGTCCATATAAAAAAAGAAGTTGGAAAATCCCAACTGAAAACTTATGCTTGTGCAACATAATGCATGACTCATACAGGTTTCGCCATTCACACACTTTTTTCTTCTCTTCTGTGGTTTTCTTCTTCTCTCTTTTTCGCTTCTACCTGGTTTTGTTGTTACTCTTCACTTGTCTAGTTCGTCTTGTTGTTTATTCTGCAGTGAGGACTTGTAGAATTTTTTTCTTTCGGGTTGTTTTTCGCTTGCATACATATCATATATAGCGATGAATTGTGAACTTTGCTTCATCGTTTGGCATATTAAACTTGAACAATACATAAATCGTAGAGCACAAAAACAACTGAATATTAAATGTGTGGATATGGGTATGAGTCAGATCTTGCTGGGTTAAGATAAGATCCACATCCACACTCTTCTAATAATTATAAACAATCATTGACTTATTATATTTAAATATGATTTATTAAAGCTAAAAGAAACTTGATGATTTTATTGTTCAAAAAAAACATTATATGTACTATTTCCAAATATTAAATATTTTTTATTTGAAGCGAACAAGCATCGGCATGATAAGTAAAAATATGATCACCACTATTTAACAATGACAAATCTACTGATGTACTATTTAATAAAATCCAACAATAGTTACAAAACAATATCCAAAAATGTTTGTTAAGAGTTATGTGTGGGTGTGGATCTGCTCCTTAAGCAGGCCCACAGTTACACCGCACACCCTAAATCTTGTGTTACTGCTGTTTGTTAATATTTATTGAAAGTTTCCCGTTTCTTAATTCGTTAAGTTTCCAACCATTCGTTCTTCTGTATCTTGAATGTTCATAGCACTTAAATTTTAAAAAGTATCTTAATGCAATTTGTCAATAAAAGTTATCTACTACCGAACAATGCAACAGTATTCTACATTTGTCGTTGTATATCAGTATCACATTTGTTTGAACACTAGTGGATCATCAATAATCATTGAATTTTCATTTGATTTAGTATGTAAATACATTAAATATACGTATAATAATACAATTATTCTATTGCATCAAAAATTCGCACTTGATCACCTTTAATGTGGGAAATTATTTTCAGTATTAAAATTATAAAAGTAAACGAATTTTCATAGTAAAATTATTTAAAATGCTAAACAATAGTTTCAATATCCAGTCGCGACTTCTTTTCGTTTGTAAAGATAACTTATATTAGATCTATTGAACAAATTTTTGAGATTTGGAAGCGAAACAAATCACAAGTTACAGCTACTACAGTCTATCACAATGATTCTATTATTTTTTCGTTTGAATGCGGATGGACAATGATCTAAAAAAAAATGAATTCTTATTCATTTATATATATAGACAAACGTAATAGATGCTTAAGAACAATGTCACATCTAATCACCATGTAGAATATACGTCGAGATGATAATATTAATATACATATCACTCGATTCAAAGTCGAATGAGCAACCAATATAAGTGTGACTAGAATAAAAAATGAGCAGATAAGATTATGTCAGAGCGCTCTGTTATTTTTCTGTATCGATCTCTTCTAGTCATTTGTTAAGTGAAACATCTACCTTTAATATTCTTTTTTTTATGTTAGATTTGAAATACATTATAGCGTATCTTAAAGTATCGATCTAATGGTGTTTCATGGATTAGTACATGTTGGTGTATATGTGGATGTTTGTGTTTTCTTTTCCGACATCCAATTCTGATTTAAGAGCTAGCAGTGCGTTCTTCTAACAGAGTTTGACATTTTCGCATCACAAATTAGAAAATAAAATGAAACTGAATTCATGAAAAAGACCATTGAAAGTTGTTAATCTTTCATGTTTGTCGTATCACTCTACTATTTTTTTATGTTTATTAATAGTTATTCGATTGCATGCAGTTTTGTGTAGAATTGAAAACTGAACCATATGGGAAAAACTCAGTTCGAAAAGACGAAACTGAACATAAATACTGAAACCCCATGATTTTGGAGTCGTTTGTTAGAACTCCCATGATTGTTTAAAAAATAAAGTGAATAGAGCTGTTAAACAGTAAATATCTCTCCGTAGTTCTTTTTCTTTTCTACAAAAACTTGAGCAAAAAACATCGAAGTAGTGAGATATATTCTCTTGACCATCGATATCTGATACACTTACTGTTGGCTATAGGATAGTCAGATGTAAAGTTTAGAAATCAGTAAAAAGAACGAAAACAGTTTGAAAAAGTGGTTAATAATATCAGATGAAAATCAGACAGCGTATATGTTGTGGAATATAGAAGTCAATATATTGTTTAAGATAAAATCAACGTTTTGAATTTCATACGTTGAATTTTACAGCCCAACAAAACCAATAACAGCAATCGTAATCGAAAATATGGAAGCTATCAAAAACATACTGTGTAGTACAATCTCTACGTAAAGGGTAGTATTTTCGATAGCATATTTCATTAATTTGTACTTTTATGAATGGCCGTGGCATTTAGAGAAATAACGGCATGATTAGTCCAAATTTGTTCGTATTTCAAGTTCTACGACATCAGCGAGGTATTGTGCGCCTTTATCTCAGATTCGATTGATGTAATGCCTAATTTCAATCATCATCTGTGTATGAAACAAATAATGAATTGGAGCCGCCTCAATAGCAAAGGTGCTTAGTCGTATTCTTTTATAAAACATCAGCCAGATGTTTTATTCTTTGGTTTCCGATTTTATTATCTTGAAAGTTCAATGTAGTGAGTGGCTGTGTGCAGAGACGAATGTAGATATGATATAAAAGAAGAACCAATAAAGATCACCGAATAATATTGTAAAGCATCAGCTAGATGTTTCAGTCTTTCAACTTCAATTTCATTCACGTAGAGAATCAGCGTGATAAGTATCTGTGTATAGAACCGTATATATCTCCAATTTTATTTTTGCCGAGTTAAAGTTTCGTAAGCGTCTATGCATATAGGTAAAGATGGATATGAGAAAAGTGAGTAGAGTGTGGGATGACTGCATTATGAAGTAGAGCATTTGAGACATATTTTATTCCAACAAGTTCGATTTCTAGGCTTTCAAGCTTCAGTGTCGTGAGTGACTATATTCAGAAAAGAAGGTAGATATATGTGTGACACATGGAAAAAACAATGAGTCACCGAGTTATGTCGCACACCACTGGTAAGATATTATGCTCCTTTGGCTTCAGTTTTTTCCTGCAAATGTATCAAAGAGATAATTATCTATGTATGAAGTGAAAAGTTGAAAGCATAGTGAAATTTAAAGAATAATAATTACCTTGTCGTTTCTTATTTTGATTTCGAATCCAACAGCTGTAAAAAAAACTACTTTTATTGTTTTGAAGTTGCAGCGTCGTCATTATCTGTATTCAACTCAAACGATGGCCGTCAGCTAGATATTTTGCTCATTCTTCAATGAGAATGGATGTGTCGGTCTACATGATAATAACACCCAGCAGCCATAGAAACAGCCACACCCCATACCCACATCCACACTCACACACCCACACCTTCAAGGTTTGTGAGAAAATTTTTTGAAGAGATCTCTAGAAGGCAATTCAACCATTATACACCCATAGATTGATGTTGGTTCTAATAAGAGCCGCTTATTTTACCCGTGATCAATAGCGAACTTTTGACTTCACAATCTGAAAAGAAATTCGACCCCTTGACAAACCTCCATACAAAATATTAGCTTTTGCTAGTTGTTCAATGAGACTCTGAGTAGGGTCAAATTTCCAGCACACTATTTAAAACATAGTCACTCGAGATTGAATTGAACAACCTAATCTTCTTGTAACTGTTTGAATAATGAAAATAAATGGTTTCGTAAAGCTCATCAAGACCTATAAAATAAGCTACGTGGCATGAAGCCCAAAATGGGAAACCAGTGAAATATGAAGTAAAACAGAACTTTCCCACAATAAAAAACCACAACAGTTGTATCTAACTTTCTATTCAAGTTCTCATTCTATGATGCTGAAAAGTTGATCAGAGTCCAATATTCATTTTCTTTTCTATTGAAAGGGTCAAAATTTCAAAATGTTACTGTCCACAGAAAAAGGTTTTCTAGAGAGAGTACTAGTGTCGGTGTAGTGTCTTTGTGAAGCGAGAGAGGACAGAATTGGCACCTATCCATACACACGAACCCGCATTCACGCCAACACCATCACTTCTATAACAAACTGTTTGATAGGCAATTAAATACTTTTGGCCGGTGTCTGTTTAAAACTGAATGGAAGTGAAAGTTTCTCATTTTTGTGGTCTTACGAAACGCTCTGGGCATTGTTTTTGTAACTGTTTAATATTATCAAGGATAACTTGTCGATGATCTGCATTGTTGACTCCATAGTTTGCAAGCATTTCATCGTCAACGTAATTCAGAAGCCAATATCCATCGATGTTGTATTTCTTGACGAAATCCATGTAAACCGTATACTGGTCACCCAATGATCGAAGCCACTTACACACATCATCGCAAGAACAGACATCATCCAGAATATAAATTCCTATAAAGAAAAGTAAATTTGGCAGATTGTTTAATAAGTTCTTCTTAAGGCCTACTTTAGGTCAAAGCATGTAATTTCTTCCGAGGGGCGTAAAAAAGGAGAAACGGAAGGTGGGAAGGATATGGAGTGTAGCACAATCCTGCTTTCAAAATTTGTCCATGTACTTGGTTACACTTCTGTTTCTGCTAGTGAAACTTTTTTTGATTCTATATAGTTAGAAGTTTAAAGATCTTACGTTGAGGTAGAAATGAGTAATCCTCGTGTTCCACTGCCTTTCGACCAGTAGCTCCATATTGCATATTTGAATCGAATTTCAAAGTTTCGGACGGATCGACAAAAGTGCGACTTCGTGGCCGAGAACTTGCTGCGACGCCAGTAAATTGTTTGACTGTTGAAATTGAATCTGATCGTGTATATATTTTTTTTGCCGATGATTGCATCTGATAGTTTGGATTTTTTTCCGACACTTGTAACTCATTTAAATTTGTCTCCTTTTCGTAAGGTGACTCATTAAGAGTCTCGAAAGATATTTTTGAAGTTTTGGATCCTTCTGGTGACCATTTTGTTCCTTCATAAGCGATCCACTTGCTCAAACATTGAATAAAATTTGTAGCGTATACTTCTTTTGTCCATTCTTTGGGTAGATTTTCATAACCATAATAGGCACCGGCTAATTGACCATAGATAGCTGCAGTTGTATCAGTGTCATCACCAAGATTCACAGCTGCAAGAACACCAGCTCGGAAAGAGTCCTTCTCAGACCAAAAGGCCCATAAAGCGGCTTCGAGAGCACTGACAATGTATCCTTTACCTCGAATGCCTCCATCGTATCCACCTTTCTTGTAAGAGCCTTGAACAATTTTTTTAATGTCCGGATGAAGCGGTTTATTACGGAACCATTCTTTATGGTTTTCGTAGAAATTTTCATCAAGTAGTTCCTCTCTTGTTGCACCATTGACAGCAGCCACGATTAAAGCACCATAGTAACGACAGGCATCATAGACTTTGTCATCACCATGAGTTATTAATCCACTAAGTCCTGAATACTCGATAGCCTCAATAGGATGTTTATAAAAGAACAGTGGCACAGGTGCGAGTCGCATTAAAGCTCCATTACCAGCTACACCTTTTTCACTGCAATTCACGTCGAACTTCTTCAAGAGTTCAGGGTCTGAAAGAAAATCTAATTGATCAAGAGGAATTTTATGTTTAGCGGCGAAGTGTATTTGGCGACGTTCAAATTCCCTCAGTGACTGTTTGGTGGCCGCACCAATATCGAAACATCTTCCTGTAGAAGACATATACCCATTTTTGTACCACCATGTGTAACGAACTAGTTGATCGTAAGGTACATAATCTTGACGAGCTACCAATGAATTTGCAAGACAAAGAGCCATCGATGTATCATCGGTAAACTAAAACAATCATATATTGTCAAATCCCTGATATCTACAAAATAAATTTATGATATGACTAACTGAAGTGAACGCTTTCTTTCCCATAATTTAGAGAACAGCTAGCAATTTGTTGATCATTTAATAGCTTGTGATGAAAGTATTTCTTCTGGATGAGACTTTTGGGGCATTTTAAGGATCACAAAATCTTTCATAATTAGACAAAAATGCTGATTATTCTCCTTATAGACATGGAACACCTACATTCTAGTTATACAATAACATACCAAAAGAACACGTTAGATTCCTTCTCAGTATGAAAATAGTTTTAGTGGATAAATAGATGACGAGCAATGCAAGAAAGATCTTATCCATCGTCCATGAATAGTGCTTCTCAACTTAGCATTATTGCTTCCCATTAAGATTTTTATCGAGGAACTAATTTTTCAGTCTTGGTATGAACTTATTCGAGTGTTACTTCATGTGAAGACAAGAATTTGATTTGAATAGAAGATTACCTGCCCTTTTTTAAGACCCCATGTGCCGCCATCTTTTAGTTCGGTTACTGGATTTTGAACGGGGTAATGTCGAGGTCGAAATTCGACATAAGCGCCAAGAGCATCGCCTAATGCCATTCCGATCATCGAACCATGAATTCGATTCACTATATCATTATCGACATTATTTGGAGGATCTTTCATATCTTTTTCAAGTTTATCAAGCCTGTTGATCGCTTCGCCCTGATTGGAATGCTGATCAAGCCATGGTTTATCTAAAGACATATACGTATATCTGTATAATAGACTGCCTCCTGCAAGTATTCATTAGAAAACTTTCTTCCCCATGAACATGAAAGATTTTCTTTGTTTTCGTTTAAAAGATCTTCATATTTTACCTGTTTTGAATTGACATGTAGAATGTCTTTTTGATGGTTCAGGACTTCCTAAAAGATAACTAGGTGAAGTTATTGTCATAGCCATGAAAACTGTTAAGTTAAAATATTCGATTGGGTAATACAGAAAGAGAAAAAAGTATGAAAATATGGCAGTTATTTATATTGTGGATGGGTACCAGTGAGTTTGATTATGTCATCATGGCAAGTTTTCTATGCCCCTAATCTCATCGCCGCTCATGTGAAAAAAAAAACATGAATATTAATGAGAATTCAATTTTTCTTTTTATCTTAGGTGCTAGGAGTGTTACTTAAACTTTGTTCGATGTTGACGTTTTGTTTTACTTACGTATATAGATAAGAAACTACATTATTATTCTGACAAAAATTCGAATTCTGGCTCCTATGCAAGATCGTCGAAAAAATATTGATACCTATACGGTTTCTTTGTTGATAGGTTGCCATCATAAAAAAAACTCGTTGATTGTGTTGAATGAAATAATGTTTTAATTCGTATATTGTTAACGAGAGTGCAATCGAAAGACTTTATCTTTTCTTTTCTTCCTTTTCTCCATTTTCTCATGTGCACTGCAGACGAACAGAGATTAACAAGCAAGTATCTTCAAGGTAGAAAAAAAACTGATATAAAAACATACGAACATCTTACAACAATATTGTTTGACAAAGAACGATAAAATACTGCATCTGTCTTCTTGCGCAAATAAAAAGTGCAAAAAAGTAGTGAAAAAAATGAGACAACATTGTTTCTTACAAACAGTTGTATCAAGAAACTTCACACAACAAGAAAGTGATCATAATATTATTATCTCAAATATAAAAATAACACATAAATTCTACTAACGTCTTCAGTTTTTCTATGCATTGATACACACTTCGAATATGTCAAAGCAACGGTTTTAAGCTGTTAGAAGGTTTTTTATTGCTAATTAAAAGGTTTTCAACAGATAATTTAGTAACTTTTGAGTTGATGCTGACTGTGAACCTATTTATGTATGAAAGTAATCATACATGAGATTTAGATTCAATATCTGATAAATTAGTAAATGTAAAAGTTGTTTAATCAGAATTTTTTATTCTATAATAAGAAGGGAACTTTCAATATTATACGACCATTTTCAACCAAATACCAGGACTTTTGAACAGATGTCTGAAATAAATTCGATTACCATTTTTGATGATTCTATTGATTTACATCGTCTATTAATACATAATGTTATATCATTAAATTATCTTAAATTACAGTTGATTTAGATGATATTTCTAGGTTATGATATCTATGTTTATGATGTTATAAAGAGTATATACAATTAAATATTTCATCACTACATCTCTCTCTCTCTTTTTCTTTCTTATTTTGTTTCTTGTGTTGTAACATCTGTTTTAAATTTCTAGTATTCGATTGAAAATGATCGTATAAGATCGAAAATGCCCTTATTATTATACAATGAAAAGTTCTGATTAAAAAGCTTCTACATTTACTCATTTATTAGATGTGAAACTATTTGATGAACACGGCTGTAACGGCGCATTGCGTACCATCAATGATTGGAAAACATCAAACAGTGAAGACGTTGGCTGTGAGATCGAGACAATGAATTCTTAGGTGATTCTGACTGTTTTCGAGATCAAGTGATTCGTTCGAAGATATCATTAAAGAATGCAGGAAAGAAAGTCACACTGATCATCAACATATTTTGGTTATGGAAGCCACCTTTGAAATCGGCACTAAAACTTACTGACTATTGGTACTGATCAGAGACAAAGTTCATCTGAACGAACTCAATGAAACCAAATTACAAAGTGTTGTTGAAACTATCAAAAATGGATCGCAGGTGTGAATGTGGGTGTGGACGTCCGTGTGGTTCATCTCTTCACTTGCATGTATATCTACAACCACATCCACACTTCAACACTTATAAATCTTCTTCCTGATGGCAAACTAAGACAAAATGTGTAGATTATTACTAATGACCAAGGATTAGCAATGAATTTGGCCAACTTATCTTTCCACACTGTCTCTATGTGATGAAAAGCGACAACTTCTGTTATCCTGCATATCTGCTCATAAAAGTGCGAGTGGAAGAGAGTGAATGGAAGGTCCACACCAACATTCATCCTCAAGGATGACGCTATCCGATGATTTGGGGAAGGAACTTTGAAAAAAGCGATTGAGGGCAACAAGTTTAATACAGGAGTTAAAAAATAGTAAAAAACGAGTGGTACCATTTCAAAGCCGTACCAAACGCTTCATTCTTTATACTTTTTTTGTTTCTGAGAGATCATCAAAATGTCGCGTACTACCAATACATTGTCCAAATTGAAATGATAATGCACACAACTCTATTTTGTATTATTCAAAACTAAGACATGTTGAGAAATCGAAAATAATATTTTAAATGATTGATGTGTTCGTTTTTGTATTTTTGCGTCCAGAGCATCACAGTTTACGAGGCTTTCTTTTCGTTAAGAATCTTGTCGATTAGTTCGAAAAATTGAAGATTTCTTGGATCAGTCAGCAATGTATCGAAATCAACGTGATTGCGCACTTGAATGAAAGCTAAGTGTAACGAAGGTGAAGCAAAAGCAAGACTACCACCGAGACCTAATAACGAAAAGACATATTTTAGATCATATGGTACTGGCATAGCCATTAATTCATGGCTTCTACGTAGTAACTGCTAATACTTGAATCAGCAGTAGTATTCTATATTTTCTGTATGAGAACTGAGAGTTGGTTTTTTTAGACTAGTCAAAAGAAATAGATTGAATGTATTTTGAAAACTTTCTAAAGTGAATGAGAAATACTAGTAAAGTTATATATCTGTAGAGACCTCATCATGATGACCGAATCCGTCTTCGGCTAGCACATGGAAAAAGTCACCATACACTTCGAATCCTCCTCTTGAAAATTGTGTTTTCAAGCCAAAAAAGGACCGATCGATCTCACCTGGTAGTGTCATATTTTCAGTAGCCAATGTCAAAGTTTTCTTGCTCACAAGACATGTTGTTTTTTGCCCATCTTCATTTACATCACCAATGAGCAATGAGTGAATTCGTGCCAATGTATGAGCATTGGGCATGCCATTAACAGCTGGCAAAACAGTTTGATGTATTGACAGCTGATTGAATGATGATTCACCCGTATCACTTAATATTAAAGGGATAGCACCACTGTATGTCATAGCCTTTTCGGTGCAAGGGTCCATGTGTGTTGCACTAGGACAATCTGCGCCACTCTTGAAGATAAAAGAGAAATAAAGCATGTAATCAGCGGTATGCTCGTTTCATCACTCCAAGCAGATATCGAAATTTTCTACCTAATTAAGCCAAGCATCCGATCTAGAGTAAACTTTCCCTATTTGTTTTTTTTTTATCTGTAACCGTAAATTATTTTGAATCGTTCATATGCATGGATCCTTACATAAGAAATATCGAACATTCTAATCATGATTATCTTTTTTGTTTTTACTGTTTTTAACAGATAATGCATATTTTCTAATGATTTCTAGAAAACAGTGCATGATTTTTAGTTTTTTCGTATCTGATCGAAAAGTATTCAACTGTACACGATTATACTTTTTTTGCACTTAAAATTGAAATATATCCTCAATCTGCATTTGATGAGATAAGACTCAGAACAAATATTGCTTTCAATTTGAAACGTCCAATCTCATTGCTTCATCCATTCGCAGTATTAAAAAGTGTTTACATGATGTATTTCGAAATATATAGTTCTTGAAACAGATCAATATTTGTACTGGATGTTCATCTCATCAAGCTCCGTCTCATTGATTTTCAAAATGAAAACTCATATAGGAAACAGTTTCTCGTGATAAGTCGCAGGCCATGGGTTATATCAATGAGCGTTAATCGTTGATACTTTCATGAACTTAACGGTGTACACTGAAATTCTATGAGACTATATTCAGCCATTGCAGCAGTCCTTCTTTCTTTCTTGACATGTTCTTCTTTTTCAATTTTTAATGGAATTTAACTATCAGAACATGGATAAAACACGATAAAGATATCTAGATAACTTCCATCATCGACAGAGTGTTGATAGAACCCCAGATATTTTTATTTTCAATGAACTCCAGAAAAAAATCCGTCCTACATTGCATAAAATATCGGCGTAGAATCTCAAGACACGTAGTACTTGCATTTAAACGTTGGGTTATGTAAAATATCCACCAGGGTTGTTCTATGTGACGAAGCCAAATAGTGTCAAGTGAAACCTATGGGAGTCATGTCCATGTGAATCACTAGATGTTGAACAAAATAGGACGATGTTGTAACTGATATACAGAAGCATCAGAGAAAAAATAATTCGCTATCATTTGATTATATACGAATGCATTCATTTACAAGAGTTTTCAAATAAGTACGAATCTTAGCCGTAGCATATTTTAGGAGTTCGTTAAGAAAAACCGAAAAGATGTGTCTTCTATTCAAATATTTGCAGTAAATGTCAGTCTTCGAGTTTTTGTCAATAAGAGTGAGAAGAAATGCATGACATCATTGGTAGAGCTTTGTAAACAGTTATAAATAGAATACGCGTGTTACAAATAAGGTTGTCATTATAGGTCATAGGTATTTAAGCCTATCCTTCCTTGTCCACAGAACATCCAAAACCGATCTTGGCTTTTGACGAATTGATCAAGCTCTTGCATTATTTCTAAACAGTAACATTTTATCTTTTGAACTAAAGACACTATAAACTAATCGATGCCCTAGAAAAATGATATACTATTCTGTGACACTAAACTATTCTATATTTTAGTCATGACATTAGAATAACTAAATTTTCATATGCTATCGATATTGTTCTACAGAATAGCTATACTTCCTTTGCTCAGCTGTGCGGTTCAA